TTACTGCATATAAAGAGTTTTTAACTCAAACAAAAATAGATAATGAATGAAGAGAAAAGTTCCGTGAACACAGTAAGGAAGGACGTGACAATAAAAAGGGATGACGAAAACATGAGGACACTTTTCAGTTTCCTTGTTGGCTGTATTATTATATATTTCTGACAGAAAACACTTTTCATAAGAACAGAACAGAGAGTTTAAGGTTATTTCAGGGTGAAGGTTCTGTGGTGTTTGTGAAGGTTATTTTGGGTTTGTGATTGGTCAGTGAGAGGATCTAATGGAAGTTGAGGCAGAGATTGATCGCTTGCCCGTTGACGTGTTGGCTAATATTTTTGTTCTTTTCAGTTCCTTCACTGATTTGGCACAGTAAGTTTTTATGTTGGCTGCATAGCTGTTTCGTTGTTTTAACAATTCATTCACCAATCATCATGAATTTGGCTTTGTGATGTGGTTTTGCTTTGAAAGAGCGAGCGAGGTTTGCAAGAAATGGAAACAAGGGGTGAATGAGTCTCTGGCATGCAGAGAGAATCTCAGCTTTGCAGGTTGGAAAATGGATGATGAATCCACTGCTCGTCTTGTTTGTCATGCCTACAATCTCACCAAACTTCATATGTATGTGTACATAGTACATACTTTTCTTTCTTTTCATACCCTCACTCCTTTTTTATCCTATTCTTTTACTGTTCTTCGGTTTTGTTCTTTTGCTTTTCCTGATTATAAATTTATAACTCTATACCCCTTTGTTGATTACAAGGAGGCTCAAGTGTTTTTGATTGATGATCTTTCTTAAACATCGAAGTGAACATAAGTATTGATTATTAAAGCTTTGGAGATGGATTATAAATTTGAGTCTCAACCATTCAATGGAAATTATTTGTGCTATTTTAGGTTCCAGAGGAAACTAGCAATTTGGAGAAGGTTGATACCATGTTTGTTTAGGGATATGAATCTGGTAGGGTTTTGAATGATGCTAAGTAAAAGCCGTATTTGTAATTTTGATTTTGATAAGAATCTGCACCATTTGTCCTAAGGCGAACCTCTAACCCTTTTCTGTTGATTTGTGTTGGCAATGTTTGGCTAATAGAACAGCTATGTTTTCTTGATTTTAAAGCTTTCTGACATGGAAATGCCAATATTGAGTAAGAGGTTGTCGTAACCGAAACTGTTGGTTGAATGGATTAGATTATACATGTTGGTTCATTTTAACTCTAAAGAATACATGAAATAAGTAAGGTGCCATTAACTTTGACAAGCATACTTGTAAAATTTGGAATCTGAAACAAGCAATTGTAGAGTTTGGTAGTTTATAACCAGTTATGAGCTATGTTTCCATCGTCAAGGTCTCAAGAATGTAGCTATAAGATGGAAAACTTTTATTGTGTTTTGTATTTTCAGACCAAGAAGCCGTTGGTGTTGCCAAATAACTGATGCAGGACTTGTCAGAATATCTTTTGCTAAGTGTGTCAGCAATCTCACATCTATATCATTGTGGGGTTTGACTGGCATCACAGATGAAGGTGTTGTTCAACTGGTATGCCATTGTTTTGATTTTGTAACTTATATGCTTGGGTCTGTGTGACATATCACTTGGAATGGTGTTAGAAAATAGGAAGGGATTAAATCACAAGGCTTAGTTTCAGCTCCCTGAAAATCTCCATCATCTGATTATACCAGTAAACTTGACATTAAATCCAACCCAAAGTTTTCAAATACTAAATATATGGGTCATTCTTTGGATTGATCTTTTTCTATTCAATATGTTTCCCACTTCCCCTTCCAACATATATTCATTTTGTGCAGACTATTGCAGTTGGAATTAAATTAAATTAGATTAATTTTGAGAATTTAAGGCTGTCATGACTAGATTGTGCTTATATTATTCTAACATTTATCAGGTTAAGGAACTGTTGTTTTGGGTGTTTCTAGTTTGACTAATAGCCTATGTGGATTTCAGTTTATAGCCACAAAATTTGTCCTCAAACCAAAATTAGGACACATTCCAAAAACATAGTCTATGTAAGTGTTGTTTTATTTTTGTTTCCTTCTTCTTCTCTAACGACAACTATGGTATAACAGATATCCAGAACTAGATCTTTACAACATCTGAATGTTGGCGGTACATTTATCACGGATGAATCTCTGTTTGCCATTGCAAGAAGTTGTCCAAAGTTGGAGGTAAATTATAAGAAATTGAACGTTAGGTTTTTGTGTTCAATTATTTTCCTCCTCCCATAACAAAAAGAAAATAATATATAGTCTAGAAATGACATTTCATTCATCTAACTGTCTGTATTTAGTATGTATCAACCTGATAATCAATCTTGAGTGGCTTCATATTCAATGTTTGTGATTTTCCATTGCATCATAAGTGAAATGATTGCTTATTGTTTTTGTTCAGACCATTGTTCTTTGGAGCTGTCGCCATGTAACTGAGAATGGGCTTTTTGCCTTAGTTGACAAATGTGTGGAGCTGAAATCAATGAATTTATGGGGAACAAGAGTTCCTGTGGACTGTCTCAACAATCTACTTGTTTTAAGACCAGCACTAATGATCAAAGTTTGAAACTAGACTAAATGTATAGAATGGTGTCCCTGGTTGTTTTCTACTGCTATTTTTATGTACAGATTGTTTCGTTTTTCAATTCATAGATTCAATTCAACGTGCCTCAAAAGCTGAATATGTCAAAATCCATTTCTGCAAGTAGCTATTGCTGTAAAGGTTCAATTCACAAAAACAAAGTCATGAGTAAAGAAAGATTATTGAACTGTATCTATTCATTTACCGACTTATGTTAATTGTTACATTGTCTCTGTATATAGACTTTACCTATGGAAGTTGCATTCAAAGTGTACAGCTGTACTGAGCTGAGACCAACTTTAGAAAAATTGCTTAACTAACAAGTATTTATAAAAAAAATAAAATTAAGATAATATAATCAAAATTTTCCCGTACATTAAAATTAATTTATACACTCTAGAAGGATATTTTTATCTAACCTTTACAAGTTGATTTGAGATTATAAGATTTTAAATAATTGTACTTAAATCATTATTTGTCTTCTATTCTAAAAACTAATTATTGAAAAGTTTATTCAAGTGGCAAGTTGATTTTACCAATCATACACTAAAATATAATAATGAGAAAAAGATTCGGCGTTTTTGCATATTTCAAAAGATATCTATATTATAAAATAGTCATATCATGAGAGAGAAAAATAAAGAAATCAAACACCTAACTTAAAAAAGCCGTTTAAGCCGATCATGCTATTAGTTATTATTATAATTTTTTATATTTGATATATTTTTAAGAATATTTATTATTTATGGACTTTTTTTAACAAATGTAAAATTACCTGAGATCTTATTAAGGGATTATAAAGTATTCAATACTACAAGTTTAAATTACCTGAGATTTTATTATTTGTATCTCAAAATTTAGTTTTATAAATTACATGATACTTGTATTCATATAATTTATAATCCAAAAGAACAAAAACCGACCTGAAATCTGATTGAGATGCAGCCCTAACAGGTGGAATGGATGAGGTTTTGAGTTGGCAACTCAACTTCTAGATGGTAACTAGCGTGCAAAGTTAAAATTAATTGTTTCACGTAAATTTTGTTTGTCTAATTATATTCACGTCAATGTTATATTCTTCCAAATAAGGAATTGCCAGTTAAGTCAGGAAGAGAATGAAAGAAAGCAGATAAAGGCATTACTAATAGAATGAAAAGAAGAGATTAATACTTGGAAAGAAAATAGCTGATAACTGCATACTTAGGGTCAAATTCCACATCATGGTATGAACGTGAAATTGTGAGATTTTTTCAAGGATTTATAATAGTTCCTGCTTGATTTGAAACACATGTAAACTCTGGAAAAAAAAATGTAAAGAGGGTTAAAAACTTTTTTACAAATAAATATTAGATGTTATTACAGAAGTTAGATGTTCTATAAGCATAAGTATTAAGTATTGTTGAACATTTATAGATTTTTAAGTGTTTAAAAATTCTTTTAAGACCAAAACAAGGAGAAGACAAATTTTTATATTCGTTTATTTTAAATTGAGTTACATTCAATCCTCTCTTAAACACTCTTAAAAGGTTTTAGTAATCTTTAGAGATTGTGGACGAGTTTAACCACTTTTAATTTTACAAATTAACTTAACTAATTAGACGAGTTTCACTATTCTTGATATAACACTTGTCTAATTGACTATATCGTTTAACTCTACTCATAAGTTAAACTAAAAGTGTTTTGATTCATTTCTTAATCTACAATGTGTACTCTTCCAGAAGATATAAAATAAATACAAAGAAAATCTAAAAATTTGTAATAAAACATTTCTTTCTTAAAAATAAAGTCTAGACAACGTAAGCTTAAGAGAATGTTAACAGAGTAAAAACAATAATAAATTTTGATTCTTCTTCTCTTCTCTTCATACAACCCTCTTTATATAAATTTCTTCGAAAAAGATCTTTCATACAAAACATTAACTTTAGAGTAGGAGTATAACTTTTTAATACGAGATCAGATGCTATCTTCTATCTCTTAACGTTTTTTTTATCCGATGCAAAACTTTTAATAAGGCTTAGTAAAAAAGATAGAACAACACAGCAAACAATGAAGTACTATCTTGTACATGCATTAAAAGTGTTAAACATTTTTAAAGGTTTAGGCATTATACGTGTATAAACATTTAAGCATAGTCGATTTGAGTAACATTCAAAGTTTATGATATCGTTTATAGATACCACATTAAATGAACTTATTATAGAAGACTTAATTGATAAACTCTATTTTGTTATACATTTTTGTTAAACTTCAAAACAATTTTGCTCAATCGATATTGTCTTAACACAAATTATTTTTCATTTACAGACAAAATTTAGGGTGTTTGAAAAAATGTACACGATGTTCCTGATTTTAAAAGCTGGCAAACCTTGTGCAACTTCCTCTGTTAAACTATAAGGTCCATGCTCCATGTTTATGTTATGTTGTTAAAATGTACGAGAATAGCACTATAGTGTTCAAACATCAATACAAAAAGTTACAAAAGTGAATGAAAAAAGGACAAGTGGTAAGTATTGTGAAGAATACAATCGGAACAAACCGTAACAAAGACCAAGAGCTTCTTGACATCCTGATCCTATGTTGCAAATTCGTATTCTGTCTTGACTAATGATACCTTGGTACAAATCCTGGAAAGCAAGAAGGGGAAACATTACAAATATAATAAGAGTGAAAGAAAATTACTTAGGGGTAGCAGATAAGACATCATATCCACTATGACAACGGAGTGCCATAATATGCATGGAACCACAAACAACAACAATGAAACAATGGTTTTTGAACCCTTGGAGACTTGAATTAGGTAAACATACCTGAACTGCTCTGGATGCATCTTAGTCTTTCTTGGTGGGTTACCATCTACCTCAGATGACCTCACAGATCCGTGACTATGGCCTCAGCAATTCCAAAATTTTGTTTTATCTCATTTATAACCTATGAGCAGTTCCATGGCATTCCAGAGTTTGAGGAAGTACTAGTGTACACACGAAATCACAAGAAGCCCCTCTTTAAAGACTAACTCATTCATGATAGACAAATATCATAACTCTAAGAGCTTCTCTTGTTAGACTTTGCTTGTGTGATAATAAATCACAATCTTAATAAAACAGAAATAAGGAGAAAATAAAACAAGACGAAAAGGCAGCAATTTGGAGAAAGAGCAGGTGAAGCTGATCTAGAGAACTGAACAGATCCTGTAAAGCTTCCAGCTGTGTTAGTCACTGGACTTGTATAAGGTACAGTAATATTCTTGCAAGATCCAAACGGTGCTGCCTCCTGCATAATTGCAGAAATTATCTAATTGTCCTTGATCTATTCAGGTAGGTAGAAGCTGTGCTAGGATATAAATCAATCCATTAAGAATTCCATCTGATATACACACAAATGTTATTCCAACACCTTACTTTTACATGAGGGTCAGACATCTTTGGGGAAAAAGCACGTATGGAGAAGCTTATTTCAATCTATATTTTTCCAAAAAGAAATTGAGGATACAGTCAAAGCCAACCATAACATGATTTTACATTTTTGCTATTTTTAACAATAACTAAACTAAACCTTTCTCTCCTCCTGTCAAGATTAATTATCTCTTGCATTAGAGTTGATTTTAAGGAATAATTAACAAAGACACGTAGAATTACATACTTTAAATTTAAAGACGCATTCAAACAGAAATATTCGAATCAAATTCATTAATGTAATATAGATATAAGTCAGGCTTGAAAGAATCACTTGTAAGATAAAATTTACCTTCACTTACATACTTTAAATTGGTCTTATACTTTAAATTGATCTTATTTCAACTTAATGTGAGATTTTCAATACACTTCTCTCACGTTGACACACATATATCTTGAATGTAAGATCAGACTAAATAGGTGATCTAACACTAAGCTGGCATTGGATGGAATAATAAACCCAACAATAAAGTTTTTTAATTCATGACTCTCATTCTAAGTTAAGAAGTAGATTTTAAGTTCGATTTAATTTCATAAAATTGACATGGAAAATAACATTTTCAGTCACTTATATATTCCAATAGAAAAGGTTTTAACTATGAATCCAAGATGAATTTGAGAAAGTCGAACTGAACTTGTTCTAAATTAGGTTTCCACTAACCGTAGGAATATAAGATGTGAAATTATAAAAATAAAGAAGAAAGTTCACAAACAAATGGCATTAAGGCAATACATTTCTGGACAAGAAATGCAAGCTAACCTGGCAAGCAGAGACTGTATTGCAGCCGCACAGCGAGTGGCCGTTCATTTTATCCACGATATCGAACACGCCCCCACCGTCACTCCTCTGCATGAAATTAATTTAGAATTATGAAATGGATTTGAGTTATTTTCCACATTATCGAATTGGAATGAATAATCCAACATAAGGAATACCATGTAAAAATTAACTGCTATAAAATTAGGCAACATATTTCCTGCAGCTTTGTAACATGTGTTCACCATATCAGCAAGTGGAGCCGAATGCTCTTTGCATGAGTCAGCTTCAACCGGATATGTTGGAAAGTAGTTCTGTAAGAACAGTGATGCACTTCTAGAAGTTAGCGGCTTCGATTCTTTTCTGTGTGGACAAGAACCCCCTTGAACTCCAGGATCTCCGGCTGCAAGGTAGTTATGATGTTGTCATTTCACAACATTTACTATAATGATATCTGTGCTTCAATAACACTGCACTTACACTCATTTTCAATCATATAAGTCCACTGATAAGCGATTCCTTCTTCAGCTTCCTTAGAAGCATCCGAAGTGAAAACAAGGAGACGACGATTTGCTTGAACCATCTCTGTTACAGTGGGCCAATCTTCACCCTTCTTGGGCATATCAGACACCGGGAACCAATATTTATCTAGTCCAGCATTTGAGAACAGATTAATTAACCCCTTTGGACTACGCACATAATCCTCAATTACAATGGTGATAATCTCGGTCGGATTTGCAGTTAAGAATGCTTCCACTTCTCTCAAAGTATTTATTGCAGGTTGCTGAAAAATATTTCAGCATTAGACCACACCAGCAAAATTATATATAGTAAGATGAATATCAAAGAGAAGTTTATAGTTAGATTACAAAGGCAGTGAAGTTGAAGCATTGCTCTCGGAATGAATGACAGAGCCAGATATCGTTCTCAAAGTCGTACATATCCAACATCAGTCCTCTCACTCCATTCTAAACACCACCCATAAAAAAATGTGTAAGAATCACTAAACAAACAAGTAAAACACAAAATTATAGATAGATACGAGCATATAATAATTAATCCCACTCACTTAACCCCTTCATCCTGAAGCTATGTAAAAGAATCACCAAAAAATAAGTAAACTATGTACATTCGAAATTAAAACAGACATTCCCTTCATCATGAAGGTAAACTAGAATCTTGAAAATGCAAAACGAAGAAGGAAACGATGTGACGTTTTGTCTATCCAAGGAATCCCACTTAGAAGACAAGAAGGAACAGCAATACATACCCTCAACTGGTTAGTAACAGTGTCTTCTTGATTGTAAAAGGTGAGTCTCTGAACACCAGCCAAAGATGGTGCATCCACGATGCTGAATGAATTATGGGTCATGATCCACGTGTACTTGTTGAAGGGCAAAACATTAACCTGCATGGGTGTCCCAAAAAAGAGACAGTTAATGTTGTTGTATTACATAGATATGATATGTTGTCTGTCATGTCAGATATGTGGTTGGAGGTTACGAGAGATGTAACGATGGTGGCTTGGCCTCTGGTGCAAACGGGACGAGTCCGGCCTAAAGCAGGGCAATTGCCGCAATAGAGACCCGGCCCACAATCGGTGGCAGCTGTACATGCTTCCAGAACCTGCGAAAGTTGGTGAATTTTTCAGGTGAATATCAAAAACTGAAACGAGTTTGCATGGATCATAACTGAGTGTGAAGGAAGAGAAGGAAAAGGAAGTGAACCTGGCAATTCAAGTTGAAGCATGCGGCGGAAGAGGTGAGGAAGAGGGAGAAGAAGAATGACGCAAAGATGGTGGGGGTTCTGCATTTGGTACGGGAATCCAAGAAACGCGAGCACATGGCACCACAGCACCAGAGAGAGAGAGAGAGAGAAAGAGGAAAGGTTGAAAGTTGAAAGGAAAAGAAAGAGATTTTACTGTGCAAGAGGAGAGAGAGAGAGAGAGAGAGGCTGATCAAAGTTTTGGCTTTGTCACCTTTAATTTTATCTTATTTTGAGGCAACTATACTTAACGTTTATGTAGGTATTAGTATGTAATGATGCACTTTAATATATTATTTGAATTAAGAAGAAAAATTGTTGAGATAAATGTTTGTTTAATACAAGGCTGACAAAAGGCAGTAGACTCTTCTAAATGCAATGTGATCCGTTGGGTTGAGAGTTATCTTTTTGAATTTTCCCCACTTTTCCAAGTTTCCTCTTCTACATCTTCCACTACTCCATTCTGCTTCAAGCACTCTCTGGGATCTCTTTATTTATGCTTTTTCACGTGGTGGGGTATTCTGCTTCTGCCCAGAAATTACTGCTAGAGGTGAATTTCACACAGTTTTATGAAAGGCAACAAAGTATGGAATTTCATGCCCATTTTCACATGTCTTTCAGGCACAGGATTTTTAATGAAAGTTTTGGATTCAAGAAAGAGCAATTCGCTATGATAAATTGGAAAGGTATTTAATAGATTAGTCAATTCATTAATATTTTTAGGAATGAGTATTCAATTTATTCATTAAAATGATCCTGAGTGTTACAACCTTTATAAATCACTTGACGATGGAGAAATAGCGTAAATAAGAAACGAGCTTTCAGGGAAATTATAACAACTTTAATAAATATATCATGGAAACGAGTATTTTGACGAGAACGTATCATTAACTATTTATGAGAACGTATCTCAGTTTTATGAAAGCAGATAACCTTACAGAATAAATTATCAAAGGATTTATTAGATTAAAATGTATCATGCATATCATTCTCATCAAATATTGCGCTAATGAAAATTAATTTATACCCCTTGTTGTGTTGTGAAATTTGCGGTATGAATATATGATTCATTTTACTAAAATGGATGTATTCATTTTGTAAACTAGATTGTCTTAAAAGAAATTCTCTGATGCTTTCAAAAGAAGGTATTTATAAATAAGTTTATCCAAATTTATAAGAACTTCATACATTACTTTCTGCACTTTTTTTGATATGTTTTTTCAAAATTTAAAAAGTACAACTTTCATAAATTCGCAGTTCTTTCATTATAAAAAACAATTTACAAGAATGTACTTTAAATATTTATTAATAAACTAATAATCAAATGAATCAGCTTTTGGTATGCTACCAAAAGCTTTCAATAATTTAATATTATTTCAGTTTAGTAGTATCGCACCACTGTAAATCAATAATGATTATTCACCAATTAAAATATGAAAATAACCATAATATTCATATATGATAAAATTAAACTTAATTGAGTTTAAAATTAATTTGAATATTTTGAGCTAAGTTTACATCATTTAATCTTATTGTGAACTGAAAGACGAGCACGTCTAAGTCATTGTGTTGTGCTTAGTGTAAAATAAAGTTACCTTCCAAAACTATGTTTAGTGTCTAAGTCATTGTGTTGTACTTTCTGTAAAATCAAATCACCCTTAAATTTTAAATGATAATATAAATTTAATTAAAAAATATTAAAATTTTGAATGTCACACAACAACAAATTTCAGAAAATAAAGATACCCAAATTGATGAAACTTAAAACTTAATTAAGCTATAAACCATATCATATTCATCATGTCTTCTACAATTTTACAGTAGCATGAGGTCACTTACAATCTAAAAAGTGTATTTTATTATGTATAAATTAGATAATTTTATAAAAAAAAATCATCATAGAACATTTATACCATTAGAGATTCCACTAGTAAAATCTAAATAATATTTTGCCAATTATAACTACTGAATCAATGAAAAGTTAGCTGTAAGAACTGTAAATGATAAAAGTGAGTTTTTCTGGTTTGAACTGGCACATTCCTCTTCGGGAAAGAATAGCATGAAATTTTGATTAAGCTGATATTTTCAATTACGAATGGCAAATAAAGTAGGTTGATACTAAAATGAATTGTTTAAATGTTACCTATGCAGCAACAATTGCATGTCCTTGCTACGAACAAAAAGCTCAAAAAATACTTCTTTCCGCTACCAATGAGATTGCTTTCCCCTACGTGTGAAAGAATATCAAAGAATTGATTTTTAAACAACATTAAGCAAGCTTCTTTGCACGACCACTTGAAGGAGCCCCGTCCTCTTTTTTGGATCCAGATGCCTCAGGTTTCCGAGCCCAGACAGGGGCCCTGTCAGGCTCATAACGATAATCATAGAACAGTTCCTCCCCGGCGCAAATCCGTTCCTTTGCAAAAATGCCTACCCTATGATCTCCAGCAACCATTATAACCTGCCAGTTTAAGCATTTATACAGATTGTGAATGACACTGTACCCCTGGGAATGCGCGAATGTAAAATAGAGCTCCATAATCAACATATTAAATACGAATCAGAACTAAGAAATACCTTCGCATAGCAATTTGGATCGGGCGAATGGTTCGCAAACTTCAATTTATCACCCTTTCGGTAAGCATCTAGAACGAACTGCATAAAACAATTTGTGGTTCATCCTATGTTTGATACATGATTAATGTAAGATGGAGAACTTTTCATGACAACAGATATATATATATATATATATATATATATATATATGTAAAAGCTTGCCTGGTCATTCAAATTAAAGAGAAAAGATGAATTTTCACGGTCATATATCTTTCCTCGCTTATCTGCTTCCCGATGAGAAATCAACTCTCCTGTATACTCTCCAAGGTATTCATGTTTACCAACACTATTCTGGAGTGTGAAAAGATTGAGTTAGGAAAAGGAAAACTACACGTGCTCAAACAAGATAATTTATTTACAGATGAATACCTTTAAGAAGGCTCCCCAGCCTGATACATCCGACCTTCCAAGAAGAACCTATGAGCATATTAGATGTTAGTTGCAGTCACAAATAATGTAAAAAAAATTATATTAGAGTATAATTAGCAAAACAAAATAACAGGCACGAAATTGATTGAAAACAAAGAATACTTTATGGGATAGACCAAATTCAAGCAAAATCACTCTCTAGTAATCTAGATTAATTCTACTATAAACATAATTTCATCCACTTCTCTCAAACTTTGATAAATATGAACTATTATTTTTGATAGAAGAATAAATTTGCAGCAAAGAGAGCAAACAAATCTTAATACATATGTAAGATTTAAAAAAGAAAAAGGCAGTCAAAGAAATTTACCCTTTGCTGCTGTTTGAGAAGAAGCTTCATGTTTCTACATTCGTAATTGTCCCCTCTTTGGCTAGGAATCCCAAGAGTACCATCGCCACAACTGCAACCATAATTGACCCACACAGCAAAAGGAACGGTGACAACCAAATCATGAAGTAGTAATACATATTATAAGCACTTAAGAAGAAAGGCAGAGAAGTCATGAAAACAGACAACCAAATCTTTTCCTAAAAGCCGAATAATTTATTCAGATCCTTCATTGTGCGAGAACTAAAATAGACATTTGTTTAAACATTGCGGATGAAACAATCAAATCAATGGGTCATATTATAACCAAGTTTACAATGATGAGACAGCTCCAATAAATCTCAGGAATTATTTGTTTCTTGGATTAAATTTGATATTCCATGGAATACAAATACCATAAAAAAATATTGGAATATATTTAAATTTCTTTAATTCAAAAATTAAAATGTTAAAAAAAGGAATGAGATAGGTTTTATAGGATTCTCGCCCTTTTACATGAAAAAGGAAGGAGAACCTTGCAATATATATTCCTAGGAATACATCATATCAAGCAGCATATGTATATATATCTTCTTGTACTAAACCTGGGAATACTACAATCCAAACTCATATTCTCAGAAATAACAAGACTTAAAAACAACACATTCTTAAATATGCACACTCAAGGATCAACACACAATCAATCAAAAAGTAGGAAGCTAACAGATACAGGATCACATCAGCTCAATTTTTTCTATAAAAATCTAACTTAAGGATACATTATATGTGTGTGCGCGTGTGAGAATATAGCACACGACCTGCTCTTTGCTTACCACGATAACATAGTTAACGATAAAAAGAATATATCATTAAAATCATCCCAATCATAAGTAATCACCTCTACTTATTTTCGTTTTTTCATACCCTTAAGTCAACAATTACATTTTTTGGAAAAGAATAATTACTTCCAATGAATATAAGAAATCATACCATCCACCTCAAATATGATAAGACCTATTATCATTTAGAAGCAAAAGGTATGAATCTTACAGATGACAGGGCAATGCTACACATACATAACCATAAACAAGTAAATCTCACCTGACCCAACAATTCCTACAGACATCTGGATCACATTCCCTATCAGCGGCAAAGCATGGACATTGTCGACTTCGGCATTGACTCTTAGCACAATGACAACCACGAAACCGATTCTTGCAACTCTTGGGGCACCTTGATAAAAAGGAGAAGCAAAAAGGAATCATCAAAGAAATTAACTGGTGTTAGGTACACATGCTGGCAGGTAGGAATGTTAGAATAAAATATCCATATAAACAGTAAGTACAATAACTCCTAGGGTGGATTTTGTTTCACAGTATCACTTTGTATTCACAAGAACCATATTCCATGAACATGTTTGGTTGGTATCTATTAACTAAAAATATTACAAAAAAAAAAAACTGTTTAATTTGAACATTAAAATATAAAAAAGAGAGAAGAATCTATTGTAAACAGGTAGTCATTACAGGCAATAACTTTCATTCTCATGGAAATAAAGATCCTGGGACCTTCTAAGAAGTTGTTTAGCTGGTGAGAAATGCCAAAATTAAGCAAAACGCTACAACTCTACACGCCTGTCTTCCATCAAGGTTCTATGCAGCAAAGTCAAAAGCTTACCCACAGTACTTCTCACAGCAGGTTCCATTAAGAAGACAAGGGCACTGCTTTCCACAAGCTGATTGGCAACCGCATGGATTATACTGCCGGCAGGGTTGATCCTTTCTCTCTGTAATCCTTTTCCTGATGGAATGATAAGCGGCGGATTTCCATGTGTACTTCAATCGACGGACTCTTCCTCTTCTGCGTAAAAACCTGGAT